ATTGAAAACATAAAATGCTTCAGACTGAGGTCTTAGAAAGTTATGGTTTTAAATGTAAATTTCATTTACAAAATTGACATTCTTGAGTGGATGGATTTAACTGGGTTCACTACATAGTCTTCTGCATTATGACCCTTGGGTACCTTTAGTTAATGATATATAAAAATCCTAGAGAGTTGGTAATACTGTTAGCCCCTTGTAGATGGTATGTGAATATTTGGAGGTTGGGTGCATAACAGATATGTTCAGTTGGGAATTGAGATCAATTTGGCTGAAGGGGAGAACTTTCTGAGTTGTAGCTGGGTAATAGGGAGATACCCTTGCAAAAGTAGTTTGGGAGGATCTAGTATAGGGCTTTGAATTACAAAGCCAGCTAAGGGAGCTACACATGTCTTTAGAGCAAAAGAAGGAAGCTTGAAGACTTATTAGGACTTTTAACGTGACAGCTTTAGAAGGGTATGTAATACTGTTAAGCAGCTATAAACAGGGAGTCCAGTTAGTTAACTGTAAGATTAGCTTAGTAGTTTGCTCTGAAAAGAAATGATTACCTTGTCCTCAAGCCTCAAACTGTTCATAACTAGAAACTGTTAGAACTGAGTTCTATCGCTCCATTATTCAGATTAGCAGACAATGTTCATATTAAGTAACAGCCAGTTGAACATCTTTTTTTTTATTATTTAAAACCTTAACAACGGGTACTTCCTAAATACTTTCCCATAGGAAGGAGGGAGAAACAACAGACATTCAGAGCAAAATATGAAAATCACCCTTCGGTTCACTAGATCAGGATTTAGGATTTGTCTGTATCACTTTCTCACTCATATATACCTATATATCTTTTGTTTTTATGTAAGTGGGGCCATCCTATACCTTTCTACAACTTTTTCCTCAACTTAATGTTTTTATAAGGCTATCAGCACATATGGGTTAATCTCACCCTTTTAAAGCTGTATAAGATTCATTGTATAGGTATGCCATGATTTATTTAATTACTATTCTGTTGATGGGCATTTGGATTATTTACACTTTTCACTGTTTTAGAGTGCAGTAAATGATTTTTCTTGTATAGTCTTTGTGCTGAAGTGCTAAATTTCCTGTAAGAAATAGATTCTTGCAAAGAACTATGGAGTTCCTTTAAATTCTGCCAAATTGCTTTCCAAAAAAATCTACCAATTAATACTGTTTTTAATTTTTGTTAGCCCAGCAGTTACAAAATTAACTTGTCTTTATTTGCATTTCTCCAGTTACAAATGAGAGAGCATTGTTGCATATGTTTTCTTTTTGATTGGCTATTTCTAGTTTATGAATTACTTGTTCATATTCTTTGCCCATTTTAGCTGTTTGTCTTTATCATTGTTGTTATCTCTGGGTACAAACGGAGGAAGCAGGGATGGTTGTGGACTTTAGCCACACAATGTTACATTTTGTTACAAACAGGTACTGCTGTTTTGGACTAGCATATATGCCAAATATGAGCTTACTGTCTTTCCACACGCTCTTTATATATGCTCACATTATTTGCTTACTTGTTAAATATGTGGAAGATGTCTTCTAGTGAGTCACTTTATGCTTTTTTTAATGGTGTCTTTTGCCGTATAATATGGGAGTTTCTCCTCTTTGTGAGCTCAGATCTGTCAGTATTTTTCATTATGGCCTCTGAGTTTTGTGCTTACTACAAGATATTGAAAATATTTTCCTGTTTTCTTCTAATACTTGTACTTTTTTTTCACATTAAATCATTTAATCCATCTGGGGACTACTTTTGTTATTGTGTGTGATTGTGGTCTAACTTTTTTCCTAGGTGTATAGTTACTTTTCTTAACACAGTTTATTGTATAGTTTCTTTCTTCTCCACTTATTTGAAATGCCACAGGTATTATGAACTAAATATCTACTTAGATCTGGTTTTGGACTAATGTCATTGACCTCTTTGTCTTTGCCTATACTAACATCTGATGTAATTACTATGCCTATACAGTAAGTTTTTTATTTGGTCTGAAAATTTTCCCTAAATTGTATTTCAACAATATCGTGTTATTCTTGGCTATTCTTATTTTCTCTTACTCAAAATATCAACATCTTTATAATATTGAGTCTGCCCAGTGAGATGGATTTTTTTTAAGTCCTTCCTTTCAGTATAGTTTTACTGTTTTCTTCATAATAGGCTTTGTTTACATCTTTAAAAAAATACTTAATGGATTTTACTGTTACTGCTAACATTGTTATTGTTACTCTGTTTTCTAACTGGTTACGCCTGCTATGTTATGTGTTCAGACACTTTGCTGAACTTTTATTAGTCGTAATAGTTTTTAGTTAATTCTTTTGGATTTGTTAGATAAAGCTCTCTGCAAACAGTTTTGTCATTATTTCAGATTGTTCTGAAACTTATATATCGTGTTTTTCTAGTCTAATTGTGTTGGTTGGCACTTTTAGAGCATTGTTAAATAGAAAGCATCCTGTCTCTTTCCAGTTTAAGAAAGTTTCTATTTCTGTCTAATCAGGGCTATTAAAAAATAAAAACGAGAATGTGTGTTGAATTCCATGTTTGCATGGCAGTTTGTGTTTTTAAAAAGATATGATTATCAGCATAATGAATTACATTGATAGATTTCATGTATAGAATCACCCTTGCTTTCGTAGAATTAACCCAGCTTGGTCATGCTGGTAGATTCAGTGTGCTAACACTTCAGTCAGCATCCTTATATTCATGTTGAGTATTGAGATTGCTTTGTAATTCTCTTTGCTACGTCCTCCTCACTCCAGTATTGATTGGTAGGAAGGGTTTGCTAGCCATGTAGAATGCCTTGGAAAACTGTCCATATTTTCCTATGAAACAGTTTATGTAATGTAGGAATTATTTACTTCCTGAAATCTTAATAGAGCTCACATTTTCACATGTACATTGTACATGGTACCTCTTTAAATTTTATTTTTTTTCAATTTCCAGGAAATAATAAGTAGACCATCATGAGCTCATTCTCGAGGTTTAAAAGATATTAATACTTCACTATATTTGTTTCAGTTCTTGATAACTCCTTCCCCACCCCCTAACACACACACACACACACACACACACTCTCTCTCCCTCTCTCTCTCTCTCTCTCTCTCTCGCTCTCTCGCTCTCTCTTGCTCTCTCTCGCTCTCGCTCACTCTCACACGATCTCTCTCTGCTCTCTGTGAGTGGGCAGTAAAATCTCTCTGGAATGTTTAACAAGCAGTGTTCTTCATTGTGTTTTAAGAACAAACATTCCATAATTGTATCATAGTTGCCATGGAGTGATTGCATTTATGTCTGTCCTTTTGTGAGGAGGATAAACTCAATTTATACAGAAATTACACTTTTTTTTGTTTTTAATAAGAAATGAAAGATAACTGCTAAAGCTTAAAACTTTTTCCATCCTTCCCCCTTTACTAAGTGATAACTATCCTGATATTTATGTATATCATTCCCATGCGTGTTTTCATCCTCATGTTACATATGTATATTTAAAAAAAATAGATAGGGCTGTTTTGTATATTTTTTAATTTTATGGAAAAATCCATTTTATCTATAATTTTCAAACTTAATTACTATGTTTCTTTGAGGTATAGCCATGTTTGTTAAATGTTCTTTTTTTTTTCTTCATGATTTAACAGCTCTGAAATTAGGATGCTTCTTAAATCATGATGTCATTAGATTTGATTAAATCTAGTTAATTCCTCTTAATTGCTTTTGTAAGGCATGCTGTTGTTTGACTATACCACAGTTAATCCATTTTTATAGCACATATAATCACTTATTTTATTATTATTATTATTACTTTTATTACCAGGTTATGTACACTTTCACTTTACAAACAAGGGCCAAAGTGAGCATCATTTCTGTTTCATAAGCAGTTATTTTGAATGGAAATGTTGAATTTAATGAATATGGGTACTGTACTTTCTAGGTATTGCCTAATTGCCTTCCAAAGTGGTGTCTTAACTCTTTGTTCCCACCAGCAATGTATAAGAGCTTTTGTTTGCTTTTAATTTTTAGACCTTTATTTAGTCAGAATTTAACTTTGTGTGTGCTGTGGGTTAAGGGTCTTATTTTATATTTTTCAAATGCATAGCCATTCATCTCAGCACTGTTACTTATTAAATAGTTTATTTTTTCTACTTTGATTTAAATGGCATGTCTGTCGTACTGAGTGCCTTTATATGTTGAGGATATATTTTAAATAACATAATATTTATTTTTATAATGTTTCCAGGCCATTTGTGTTTCACTAGTTTATGTATGTACTCCTGCAACTAATATATTTTCATTACTGTAGTTTTATAGTAAGGCGTCTCCCTTACTGATACTCTTCAAAATTGTCTTCATTGTTTTTGTCTTTTTACACCTCCACATGAATTTTAAGATCAGGTTGCCAAATTCTGGGAAAAGGATTTTTATTGGAATTGCATTGAATTTAAAAATTTTTTTGAGAGAATGATCATTTTTATGACATTGAATCTTTTCATCCATGAATATGTTGGTGGTTGATGTCTTTATATCCAGTAAAGTTTTAATTTCCTTCACAAGAGTCTTGCAAACTGTATCTTTCTTTAAAATTACTTTTTCTAATTGCTGCTGATGGTTAGGAACACTAGCCTAGCCTACCCTTACTCCTTTACCCTCACTCCGTTGGGGCCTAAAAACCTTTTTTAGGAGCTGAAGCTTTTATTCTCTTTTTAGCTTCCTTTATGGTTAGTTAATCCAAGTTTTTCACTTCTTCCTAAAATGAAATTTTGGTAACTCATGTTTTCCTTGGAAATTGTGCATGTCTAGGTTTAAAAATATGTTGGTAAAAGTTTTATTTACATAGTCTATTTTATTTTATGAATCTCCTCTGTAGCATCTCATACTTATTTTTTCTTGATTCAAAAAATTTTTCATCGCTTTTTTTGGTTCTCTATCACTGGATTTCATTGAGACTTTGTAAGAACCGACTTTTGGTTTTATTGATTGAGCATTTTTTGTTGTTGCTTGTTATTTCTGTAATTTCTGCAGTAATCTTTGTTCCTTCTTTCAAATTTATTTGAATGTATTAATTTTTCTTTTAGTCTCTTGGGCTGTATACTTACTAGTTCATTTACCTTTAGTCTTTCTTTTATATGCTTTTCTCTTCTGACTACTGCTTGATTACATTTCAAAGGTTTTGTAGTGTTCCCTTTTATTATTCATTTCTAAATAGCTTATAGTTTTCATTTTGATTCTTAAGTTTAATGGGGCTCTTTTACCTAGGGGACTTAAAAAAAAATTCTGAATAGATAGGTTTGGAGGTTTGGGAGGGGGGGTTATTTTGTTATCTTTTTGTGATTAATTTCTATTTAACTAAATGTAGGCCAAGAATGTCACTTGTGTAATTTTGCTTCTTGGTCTATATTGAGAGATTTTCATTGTGTGTTTCCATATGTCTAAAAAGGTTTATTCATAGTGTTTTGTAAGCCAAATTGTGTGTATATATCTGTGTTTCAGATTGAGCTTGTTTTTTGGGTTTCTTAAATTTGTATATCTTGGTTTTATTATTTGTGAAACCTGTTGGTTTAGGAGATAGTTGATTTAATGTCCACGATGAAGACTGTGAATATATCCACTCCTCTTTGTATCAGTTTTAACCTTACAATTTCAAAGTTTGGATAATAGAAGTTCTATGACTGATAGTAAGTATTTGATAGCCCTTTTTCCAGCTCCCCTGTGTCATTTTGTTTTACATCTGATTTTAAAACAGCATATAGCTATCTTTATTATTTCTTTATTTTTTCCCTTCATTTTCTCTGTTCTGTTTCTGGAATTCTTTTTAGATAATTAGAATTTTTCAAAGTATCTTCCACATTTAAACTTTACCCTTGCAACACTTCTCTAGTATGTGTTTTAGGCTGTGGTTCCTCCTAAAGATTTCTTTTTCTTTCCAGAATTTGTCAAAATTTCCACGTCTTTCTCTTACCTTGTGGATTTATGTAGAGTGTCTGTGTATGTGTTCTTACCTGCTTTCATTTTATGAGGAACGATAATTGCCAGTACTTAATTTTCTGTCTGGATCCAGTGGAATCCCTTCTTGATTTCAGCACTTAGATTGTATTCCTGCCCATTTTTCTTTTCGTTTGCTTGGGGAATGAAAGTTTCATAAGCTTATACTTAATCATCATTTCTGACTGAGCCTTCCTGAGCTGCTTTGAAACAAAAAACAAAAACTGACTCTCTTTAGCGTGTCTGTTTTACACCACTACCGCTTATCACGTAGTGGGAGGCACTTCAGTTCCTCAGAGCTTTTGTTGTCCAGTCCAGAGCAGCTCATTGTACAGAATCTTTATTGTGGATCTCAGTGACCAGATCCAGTCCTTTCTTCCCAGTCCTCTTTCCCTATGACTTCTATGTGTCAATACGTTCTGACTGGCCCTCGTGAGAGTTAGAAAAGGGTTTTCCTCCTAACTTTCTGAATGTCTTTTATTTTCACTGGTGGTTTTTCTTCTTTCACCCACTCCTTAATTGGCATTATAACTTAATGTAAGAGTTATCAACTTTTTGTCCCCTTTCTAAAGGCAAGAAACAATTTTACTGACTTCTGAACAGTGGAAATTGTAGTTTTAGTATCCATTGAGAAAAGTTTATATATAGCTATATAAACTCATAATATACTTAAATAGAGCCACATCATGTATTTACACTGATTTTCAAACGTACTCCCCCTGAAAGATATGACTCTACTAGTTTCTTTAATCTCCACAGCAACCAATAGTATAATAAGATTGAATAAGTATATAGAAGACAAATACTTAAATACAATGAAGTAAATCTTGCAAGAAGCTATATTTACCTGTCTTCCATTCTCCAGTATTTTCATAGTTATCTTAAAGGCAGAATTGTTTGAATACCCTGACATCTAAATATACATCCTTTTGTGCCTTTCATAGGTTTAGGACATTGATTCTCAAATTTTAGTGTGAGTAGAAATCATTGCTTTGGGTAATGTATGTAAAGCCATGGGAGATGTAAGGGATTTTTTAAGGGTGCTTTTAACCATACCTAAATTTGTATGGCAATTTTAGATTTGCCATGCTCAGTAAGTTTTTATTCTTCTCTACCTACACACATTTGAATGATATTACTACATATGTGGAAAATACATATATTGAAACTTTATGTAGATGTAAATCTGTTCAGTCTGATTCTCCAGATGTAAAAGAAAGTAGACAAAAAGCCAATAGAGCTTTCAATTTACTGGCTCTGCAAATGTAATAGAAGTGGGATCTTAGACAAGTTATTTTACATTTCTGAACTGCAGGTTACTCACCTGTAAAATGGGAGTAGATAGCCTTAAAAAACACTTCAATGTATAGTCAGTCAAATAAAATGCAGTGCAGAAAAATGTAGATGATAAAGTCCTTAGTTACCAATAATTCAGTTATTGGGATAATGATTGGTCTTGAAAGAAAATATGTTTAACTGAAAAAGCAAGATGCAGTTACGGGGAACTGAGAGTTACATATGGGTGTGTGTATGTTTGAGTATCTATATTATATTTACTGCTTTGGGACAGAGGTAGGGAATATCCAAACTGTGTTGCCATCCTCGTCTAGGATCCACCTTTGGTGGTTTCTCAAATCCCTGACCTTTTCCCATTGTCCAAATTATAGTTTATCTTGCCCACTGATCTTCTTGGATTTTTTTCCAATTTTAAAAAATTGTGGTAAAATAACCGCTAACAAAACTTACCATCTTAACAATTTTTAACTGCACAGTTCAGTGGTATTATTTACATTCATAATGTACAGCCATCGCCACTATCCATTTCCAGAACTCTTTTTGCAAAACTGAAACTCTGTACCCATTAAACAGTAATTCCCTACCCCCACCTCCTTCCAGCCCCTGGCAACCACCACTTATCTGTCAGTGGACACTTGGGTTGCTTCCACAATTTAGCTATTGTTAATAAGGCTATGAAAATGCATGTTGCAAGTATCTCTTCAACACCCTGCTTTCAGATCTTTTGGGTATATACCCAGAAGGTGGAATTGCTGGGTCACGTAGTAATACTATTTAAAAGTTTTTGAGGAGCCTCCGTACTGTTTTCCACAGTGGCTGTGCCATTTTACATTCCCACGAACATTACACAGCTGTTCCAATTTCTCCAAACCACACTAATTCTGTTTTGATTCCTACTTATTATATCTCTGCTGCAATCCTATCCAAACCTGAATCTAAGACTAAGCCCTGTGTCTTCTGCTTATGACTTGTTAAACTTGAGCATATCCTTTTCAATGGCCCAACTTGATTATACTGTAGAAATACCGTTGTTTTTCTAAATACTTAGGGTATAGACCTTCATGGAATCTTATTTATCCCTCTTTTTAAAACCAGAAGACTTTTTTTTTTCCTTTCCAGGGCAGTGCAACCATTGAAAAGGATTAAAATAAGTAGGCAACTTCATATTGAGTTAAGGAAAGAAACAGCCATAAGTATATGGCACAAATTCTGAAGAATATCTTCTAAATATTTTTGGACTAAAACAAGGTGAATTCCAAGAGCATCATTAAAGCCTCAAGAAAGGACTTTCTAAAAGAAAGTGTCACCACATTGAAATGTCCACTTAAAGATCCTCTGGTAGGTGCAACAATTTGATCAATGGGCCTGGGTGGGTCTGTGACAAGAGTTATACATCCCTGCAGGGACTCAGTTCACATCTTAAAGGACAGGGGGCGTAAGAATGACTAGAAATTTCATGGAATCACTGCATTTTCTGCATTCCAGCCTCTAGATGGAGAGAAAATTGATCTGAAATTGAGAAATGGTGAAGGGGGACATAGCTGCACAGCCCACTTGCAGTTGGTGGCTGAATTCGGCTGAGAGAAACACCATGTGAATCTCCAGAGAGTCATGACAGAGGCTTCACTGTACCTCTTGTTCTGCAGGAGGTGATGCAAAAACTGGGGATAGATGTACTCTTTCCTCCCGCTCCTTGGTAAGAGTGTATTCTGAAACCCAAACTGAAGCTGTCAGCTACTTTCTTTACAATGTCCTAGATACTGTCAGCAGAGGGCCTGGATAGAATTGCCATCATCAGAAGATGAATAATGAGCGGAAAGAAACCAACAGAGGAACTGAATAGTCATCACAACCCAACTGTACCTTTCTCATCCCCCACCCTATAAACCAACAAAAGGAACAAGATAAGTAAAAGGCTATGAAGAATGTGTATCAAGAGAATATTCCAGGAAAGAAGATGCCAGACATTCTCCACATTCTCAAAGAAGCAAGAGAAACTGAACTCAAAACAGAGCTCAAAGAAGTGATGAGATTGAAGGGATGAACACTAGCCTGCAAATAGTTACAGATCACAGTGTGTCAGGGATCAACATAAGGTAAATCTAATAGCTACGTATGCTAAATCCTGTATCCTTGACAGAATACACCTTTTCCAGCAACCCTGGGTTGTTTACAGAACTTGGCTCTCATTCCATAAAGAATCTCAAATTCCAGAATTAAATATTAAAACCAAAGAAATATTTAATTACCTGTCTTTTTTTAAAATACTCTCAAGGGAAAAACAAAAGATGAATATCTAGAAAATAACTAATGAAAATACTGTGTAGTGAAGACAATATATTTATACTGAAGGGTTGAGAATATGGGCCCTACAGCTGGTCCCCGATTGTGTTTGGTTCTCAGGTTTGCTGCTGATCAGGTGTTGAACCTTGAGCAGGTTGTATAACCTCTCAAGGTCTCAGTTTCAATGGATTAAATGAATGTCAAGAAGTACCTAGTAAGTGCTAAAAATTTTTAGCTATTGTAACCATTTTCTGAGATGGCCAGTGTGGCTAGAAGGGGGTAAAGAAGGAAGAACTATGTTCTGAGTGACGTCGGAAATGCAAGGAGCACAGCTGTAGGGCCTTGTAGGCTGTTGGAAGGGCTATAGTGAGTGGGATGGGAAGCCATCCAAGGTTTTGAGCAGAGGGGTCACATACTCTGACTTCCACTTTAAAAGGATCCTCTGGCTAATGTGTTGAGGACAGACTGAGGGAGAAGAGCTGGGACGGAAAGACCAGTTAAGGAGACTATTGCGTTAATCTGGGTGATATGTGACTGGAATGGCCATGATGGGCTCGGATGGTAGTAACGGATGTGGTGAAAAGTGGTGTCTAAATATATACTGAAGCTAGAGCCTACAGAATTTGCTGATGGATTGGAAATGGACCTAGGGCAAGCACTGGAGAGGTGGAGCTACCATTAAGTGGAGGATGTCTATTGCTAAAGAACAAGGCTGAATAATAATAAGAATAAATATCTTTTTCTAAATATGGGATTGGACTCTTGAATTCTCCACGGAGTTATGAGCTGTACTGAACTCATAGCTGACTTTTACGGGAATGAGCCTGTTCCCAAATCCCAGTTGGGGGAGCCTGAGCTGTCACTTGGACTTACATTCAGATTCATCCTGTTCATGGAACGAGAGCCCCTCTCCCTCAGGAGCCTGCAGTGTTTGGACACAGGACAGTGACAAACATCTAGCAGAAGGTGTCTGGAGGAAGCCAAGGTGTGACACCCTCACCCGTGGTAAGGGAGTCGGATGAGAAGTCCCCCTTGTGAGACAGCTGCTCGGGTTTAGAGAACACTGAGCCTCCAGACTCTGGGCCCTAAGCTTTCAAAGAGGGGCCGGGAGCTCTCCCTGGTGAGTGTGGAGAGAAGCAGATAGAGAAAAGGAAAATGTGTGAGGCAGAAATTTATCTAATGAAATTTTGTTCACTTGATCATCTCACCTTATTAATGCCTTGTTAAAATTTCCAGTTAGGTGGTGAGATTGGATTTGTTTGGGCATCCTGGTGAGGACACTAGTTCCCTGTGCTAACAGACACAAGGCAGAATTAGAGACATCGGGGTTACAGCTTTTGGATTTGGTAACTTGGGAAGGCACAGTGCCTCTTCAGAGAGTCGAGTCAGGGCGCTATTGGGGTGGAGGGGAGGGAGGCAGAAGCCAGACAGGATTAAGCAGATGGGGAGTTGGGAAACGGTGACAGAAGTTTGGATGAAAAGGAAAGAGGAGAGGGCTCTTTTTTTTTTTAGGATAAATTAAACTTGAACATTTTTCTCCATTAAACATACATGTTTGGGGATACCTGCCCATGGCCTTTTAGGGACTCTGTCCTGGCCCACAGCCCCCACCGATCCACAATCCAGAGCGATTGTCTCTGCTCTGACCCTAGCTGCCTGGGAAGGGACAGCCTAGGAGCCTAATCACAAGTGACCTCTGTACTGTGAGGTCTGTGTTCTACGTTCACATTTGTGTGACCTGTCTCAGAAGGTGAGCTGAACCTATTTAAAGTTTCCTCATGAAATTTGAATTAAAAGACACAGCGGTTTCCAGAGGGCCATAGAGGGCAAGGTTGGCTCCTTCTGAGGGCTGGGAGGGAGAACCTGTTCCAGGCCTCTCGCTGGCTTGCAGATGGTTGTCTTCTCCATGTGTCTCCTCACCTTGTCTCCCCTCCGTGTGTATCTCTGTCTGTATTTCCCCTCTGTATAAGGACACTGGTCGTGTTGGACTAGGGTCCATTCTGGTGATTTCACCATAATTACTTCTATAAAGACCCTATCAAAATTAAGTCACATTTTAAGGTGTTGGGGGTTAAGACTTCAACATACGCAGTTTGGGGGACACAATTCAGCTCACAACACCTGGATTTTTGCAGAAGCTTCTTACCTGGTCTTCTTTACCTCTTCTCCCCTACAGCACGTTCTCCACACAGTAGCCATAGTTACCTTTTTTAAAATGGAAGTGAGGTCATCTTTCTCTTCTGCTTAAACCTCTTCACTGCATCACCAATGGAGTAAAAGCCAGAGTCTATACAATGGCCTACGAGGCCCTGTGATCTTGTTCCCACTAAATCTCTCACCACATCTCTCTCGAGTCTCACACACTCTGCTTCAGCCCAGGGGCTTCCTTGCTGTCCCTCAAACATAACCAGGCAAACTTCCGTATCAGTAGCTTCTCCACCTGGAATATTCTTTGCCCAGATACTGGCATGCCTTGTCTTCACCTCCTTCAGCGAGATCTTCCCTGACTTCTTTATAGTATAAAATTGCACGCCAGCTTCCCCAACCCCAGCAGCTCTTATTGCTATTTTAGGCTTTATTTTTCTCCATAGTGCTCATCACTTTCTGGTATACTATATAATACACTTTTATATTTTGTTTATCGTCTGTCTCCCCCCTTCATTAGAATGTGGTCTAGTGAGGTTTGTTCTCTGTTGCATCCCCAGGGTCTAGAACAGTGAGACAGTCAATACATATGTATAGTGTGAACAAAAGAATTCCCATTTTATAAATGTTGATACTGAAGGACAGAGAAGTTAGGCATTTTTCAAGATAACAGTTTTTTTGATAGTGCTTGGATTAGAACCCAGGCAGCATAAATATTTTCTTTGTTATAATGGCATCAATATACTAATAAAAGCTTAAAATACAGATTTAATTTTCATTTTTGTCTTCTGCTCAGTTAAGTTATTTCTATCTTAATAGCATCGTCAGCCAAATTATAACCCTAACCTGTATAGCATATACTATAGGTGTGACCCCCAAACGCTCTTTCTTAAGTGACTTAGTGGGTGCATCTGGACCATTAATGATACCACTATTTTATATTAAGATAAATTTTAATTTTTATAAATAATACATAGACATGGTTAGAAAAATTAATATTATGGAATGGCCTGCAATAAAATATCCCAAACACTCCGGATAATAGATGTCTTGAGTCCCACCCCCACCTCCCTGCTTTCCCCTGAACCTCTCTCTCAGAGCTTTGTGTCTTTCTGTACAGCTCTTATTCTGGACTTTCCTTCTCTTAGGTAGAATCTGTTTCCTAGATCTCATGTCTTCCTCTTAGATTATTTCCTTATTTTTCTGGAATTCATCTTCAAGCAAATTCTTAAGAAAGGGTAGTAAAAAGTAAACTCTGTGAGTACTTGAATGTCTGAAAATATATTTGTTCCACATTCACATTTGTCATTTGGCTAAAATACAGCCTCTACCTCTCAGTGGAGAAGTGTCGATGACATTGTACGACGTGCCCGAGGAAAGGGATATATATTGGTGTGGCTCTCGGGAAAATCCAGTCTGCCACAGTGAGTGACTTAGCAGCAGGTGTGCTTGCCTCTTTTAGTTTCTGGTTCCTCCTCCTTTGCCTGGCCTTGATCCCCAACTCCATTTTTCTTGTGAGCTCTAGAGCCTTTGGGAAATGTTGACCTTTCTGACTCCTGACCCTTAGCTCTGATTCCATGCCAGTGTCAGCTTTCCTTCCTTTGTCTTTCTTTTTGTACTTCACTGGTACCCTCGGTTCACATGCCATCGACACTTTGATTAAAATGCCTGCAGAGCTTAAGAAGGAGAAATAATGCTTGCAGCTATAGTAATCTAACCCAAAAGACGAGTACAACAGAAGTAGTTAACCCCCTTTGCCTGTAAAGTTTTATATTTCCCTTTTCCCCTACGGCAGTCTACAGTTATTCCTGCTGAAAAAACAAAACACTAAAGCTAGAGCATTCAAACCCAGAAAGCAACTAATTTAAAAGAAAATGGTTTGCATTTGAAGAGGCTTATTTTCTTGGCAGAAGGATTTCAAATGTGGAGCTTCCTTCATAGATGGGTGTGTGTAAGGGATCAGTGAATAAGGTGCAGAGCTGTTCGGAGCTCAAGGATTTGCAGCCACAACCAGTGGAAGACGAAACAAAAGACCACCCAAACACGGTGTTACTGCGAATGGGAAGTGTGGGTTGAGAATTGGTTAGAAGAGATATAAGGAATCTTACATATAAGGGAAGATATGAAATAGCTGAATGAGGAAGGAGAGAGGATTTCTTGGATAAAAAGCTGTGCTGTGCGGCTCCCGTCCCCCGCCCCGCCCCGCCCCGCCCTCCACACACGCGTAGTGGGGGGCTTGCTGGCTGTCCTGGCTCAGCTGAGGAGCTGAAGAGGACCAAGACAGCTGGAGGGAGGCTGGCTGCACCCAGGCAGTGCCTGGGCAGTGCTACTCTCCCCTCTGCTGGCCTGGCAGGTCCACAGCATGAATCCCGGGCACTAGGTGTGGAACCTGGTGGAAATGGCTCGGCATCATTTAAAAGAGATTTTGTCCGAGAAAATTCCCTGCCAGGCTAAGGCCTGCTCAGCAGTAAGAGTTGTGGGGGATTCCAAGAGCTGAAGTGGAGTAGGGGAGTCTAGAGGGCACCCAGAAGAGGGGGATGGCTCAGGAGGGAGACCGAATAACCCAGGGAAGTTCCCATGAAGGAAAGAATCTGCTAGAAGCATCTGCCAAGCCTGAAGAGCCTTCAGTGTGTTAAGTACTTTATTATTATATCTTTGAATCCTTTCCAGAAGGATTCCCTGTTGGACAGTTACTATTATCTCCATTTATAGATGAGATAACTGAGACTTAGGGGTCTGATAACAAATATGATTGATTTATAGCCTGGTTCAAACAGTCCCTGGCATTGGTACCCTGGGACATGGGGACACCTTAGT